GGCTCAGCGTCTTGCACCGCATTGACCGAGAGGAGGTGAACCAGCTTCGCTTCACCGTCATGGCCCGAGATCGGGGCCAGCCCCCCAAGACAGACAAGGCCACAGTCGTGCTGAACATCCGTGATGAGAATGACAACGTGCCCACCATTGACATCCGGAAAATCGGGCGCATCCCACTCCGGGATGGGGTGGCTAGTGTGGCTGAGGATGTGCTGGTGGATACCCCCATTGCCCTAGTGCAGGTGTCGGACCGGGACCAAGGTGAAAACGGCGTGGTGACCTGCACTGTGGTGGGTGACGTGCCCTTCCAACTCAAGCCGGCCAGCGAGGGCGAAGGGGAGCCGCAGAACAAGCGCAAGTATTTCCTCCACACCTCAGCCCCTCTGGACTACGAAGCTGTCCGTGACTACAACGTGGTGATCGTGGCTGTGGACTCGGGCAGCCCAAGCTTGTCCAGCAACAACTCCTTGCTGGTGCGGGTCGGGGACACTAATGACAACCCTCCCATGTTCAGCCAGGCTGTGTTGGAGGTCTCCTTCCCAGAGAACAACTTGCCTGGTGAAAGGGTGGCCACAGTGGTTGCCACGGATGCGGCAAGCGGTAAGAATGCCGGTGCCGAGATCACCTACTCCCTGGAGGCCTCACCCCTCTCCTCGGAGGCACCGGGTGGCATCTTCAGCATAGATCCCGACTCTGGGGACGTGTCGGTGCAGGCAGTGCTGGACCGTGAGCAACGCGACACCTACGAGTTCCAGGTGACAGCCCGGGACAAGGGGGTGCCGTCACTGCAGGGCTCCACCACAGTGGTGGTGAGGGTGGCAGATCGCAATGACAACGAACCACGCTTCATGCAGGATGTGTTCACTTTTTATGTGAAGGAGAACCTGCAGCCCAACAGCCCTGTGGGCATGGTGACCGTGATGGACTTTGACAAGGGCCGCAACGCAGAGCTCAGCCTCTTCATCCAGCCCAGTGACCACGACCAGGCAGCTGGCATCTTTTCCATCGAGAATGACACTGGAACCATTTTCTCTACCGTCTCGTTCGACCGGGAGCAGCAGACCAGCTACACTTTTAAGGTTAAGCCAGTGGATGGAGGTGACCCGCCGCGCTCTGCCACTGCCACCGTATCCCTCTTTGTGATGGATGAGAACGACAATGCACCCACAGTCACCTTCCCCAGCAACAGCTCCTACACGGTTTTGCCACCCTCCAGCAACATGCGCACTGTGGTGGCCACGGTAGTCGCCACCGATGCTGACACTGGTCTCAATGCTGACCTCAACTACAGCATTATTGGGGGCAATCCCTTCAAACTTTTTGAGATCGACCCGGCCAGTGGCGTGGTGTCGCTGGTGGGCAAGCTGGCCCCCAAGCACTACGGCCTGCATCGCCTCGTGGTGCAGGTGAACGACAGCGGGCAGCCGCCCCAGTCCACCACTGCCCTGCTCCACGTCTTCGTCAACGAGAGCCTGTCCAATGCCACCGTGGTGGAGAGCCAGGTGGCCCGCAGCCTGCACACACCCCTGGCCCAGGACATTGCCGGCGACCCCAGCTATGAGTTGAGCAAGCAGCGGCTTAGCATAGTCATTGGTGTGGTGGCTGGCATCATGACTGTCATCCTCCTCATCCTGGTGGTGGTCATGGCCCGCTACTGCCGCTCCAAGGGCAAACATGGCTACGAGGCTGGCAAGAAGGATCACGAGGATTTCTTCACCCCCCAGCAGCACGACAAGGCCAAGAAGCCCAAGAAGGACAAGAAAGGCAAGAAGGGCAAGCAGCCCCTCTACAGCAGCATCGTCACCGTCGAGGCTTCCAAGCCCAACGGGCAGCGCTACGACAGCGTCAACGAGAAGCTCTCGGACAGCCCCGGTATGGGGCGGTACCGCTCGGTCAACGGCGGCCCGGGCAGCCCTGACCTGGCCAGGCACTACAA